ACAGCCACAGTGCAACACCCGTCCACAACGCAACACACACGGCGTCACCCGCTCCCGACACAACGTGACACACAGCCACAGTGCAACACCCGTCCACAACGCAACACACACGGCGTCACCCGCTCCCGACACAACGTGACACACAGCCACAGTGCAACACCCGTCCACAACGCAACACACACGGCGTCACCCGCTCCCGACACAACGTGACACACAGCCACGGTGCAACACCCGTCCACAACACAACACACACGGCGTCACCCGCTCCCGACACAACGCGACACAGGGCCGTACACACAGCATCACACATTCCCTATGCAACGCAACACACAGCCACAGTGCAACATTCGTCCACAACGCAACAGTGCAACAACGCAACACACACAGCATCACCTGCTCCCGACACAACATGACACACAGCCAGAGTGCAACACTTGTCCATAATGCAACAGTGCAACACACAGACACACACAGACACAAGCAGACACAACACCACATGCTACACACACAATGCAACACCCACCCACAATGCAACAGTGCAAAGAAACACATACAGCACCACCCGCTCCTGACACAACATGACACACAGCCACAATGCAACACCCGTCCACAATGCAACAGTGTGACAATGCAACACTGGGCCATGCACACAGCACCAGCCACTCCTGACACAACGTGACACACAGCGCTACGCACGCACAACGCAACACTGGGCCATGCACACAGCCTCACATGCTCCCAAAACGCAACACACAGTCAGAGTGCAACACCCATCCATTATGCAACAGTGTGACACACACACACACTGTAACAGACACCACCACAGGCTACAGACACAATGCAACACCCACCCACAATGCAACAGCGCAACGCAACACACACAGCATCACCTGCTCCCGACACACAGCCACGATGCAACATCCCTGCCTGCAATGCAACAGCACAACACAGCCAGTGTCACACACACACCTCAACTTACAGCACAATGCGCTACCGACACAATGCAACACCCACCCCCAATGCAACAGTGCAACACAACACACACTATCGACAATGCAACACCCAGGCCCAGTGCAACTGGGGGTAGTGCTACACACACGGCAACACACAGCGCAACATGCTACCAACACAACGCAACAGTGCAACACACAAACAGGCTGCAACACCCGGGCAAAATGCAATAACCCAACACACATACACACACAGAGCCCCTCCCCCCAGGCGCAGGCCCTGCAGACACGTCGTCTGGGATATTTATAGACAGCGACAGGACTGGTGCCCCCCCGCTCCCACGCACAGACACACTCAGACGGTACCTGTGCACAGACACGCCAACACACGCCCCGACACGCCAACACATGCCCGCCTCTCACGGGCCCTCATGCCAACCCCCACGGCCCTGACCCAGGGAAACCGCATCAGCTTCCTCAGGGAGGGGGTCCAGGTGCCCTCTCCCCACTGGCCTCAACACACGTGTGTTGGCATGTGCGGTCATGTGCTCGCAACACACCAGCTGGGCTCGCATGGAGCAGCCCGGCCCAGGTGGCACCGACGGCGCCCGGCTGGTCGCACGGCCGGAGCAGCTCGCACGGGCAGCGCACACACGTGTCAGGGCCCAGCTGGGCCAGACCCTGCAGCCCCGTCATGCACCCACCCAACTGGGCGGGTGTCAGATGGTTTGTGCCCCACGGACTGGGGGACTGCTGCCCCCCCCCACGGAGTCTTTCCCACTGAGTTCTGGGGATGGATCGGGGGGGGGGAGCTCTGACCCACCAGAGTGAAGAGAAAAAGTGGGGGGCTCTCCCTGCCCGCCAGGAAGACAACGTAGTTGGGGGAAGGGACGGAAGAGCTGTCCAGCCCCCCCACCTTATCCCCATGGTCCAGCTGCCCTGCCCCCCTGCCCACGGATTTTGGAGGACTCCTGGGAAGGGACAGAGGGGTTCCCCCAGGCACATGGGGAGATCCAGCTCCCCTATCCATGGGAGGGGGGGGAGATGCAGGGCCCCCAGGTGTGGTGTGGGGGTAAACTGAGGACGGAGGATGGGGGTCAGAGAACAGGGGGGAATGAAGCAGGGAGGGGGCGGGGGTGTTGGCAGGGGGATGGAGGAGGATGAGGAGGAAGAGTGGGGGGCTGAGGGGGCGGCTGGGCAGGGGATGGCGGGTGCGAGGCAGATGGGGTGCAGGCAGGGGGGCT